AAAGCTTTGGGTCCAACAAAACAGGAATGGTCAACTTATGTTAAGGAAATGTTTGCAGTCGTTGAGGCAATTCGCACCTGGAGACCTTAGCTGCTGGGACGTCGTATCACTATTGCTACAGACCAAAAAAGCTTACGGCATCTTTTGGAACAACGAATGACAACTCCCGAACAACAAAAGTGGATATCCAAATTATTGGGGTTTGACTATGTCATTATCTACAAACCAGGGAAAGCAAATAGCGCTGCTGATGCCCTTTCCCGTCGGGAGACACCTGATCGAGAGGCCATGGATGAAATCAATGCCATATTTGGACCCTTATGGGCCATTTGGGATGACATACGTAGCAAAACAAAGGAGGACCCCCATTTACAAGAAATCGGTACTCAGATTCAACAAAAATTAGCAGCTGTCAACGATTATCACGTGCGAGGAGGGTGTGTGATGTACAAAGGAAAGGTGATGGTCCCCAACGATGAAGGTCAACGACGCCAACTCCTTGACGAATTTCATGTATCCAAGGAAGGCGGCCACTCCGGGAGGTTGCAGACCTACCAACGACTAAATAAAGTCTTTAGTTGGGCTGGAATGCGTGCGGCAATAAAAAAAATATGTGAGTGAATGTGACATTTATCAACGAGCTAAAAGTGACTGCCTAAGTCCAGCAGGTTTATTATCACCACTACCAGTACCTAGTGCAGTTTGGGCCGATATTAGTATGGACTTCATCGAAGGATTGCCAAAAGAAAGGGGGAAAGGATACCATCTTGGTCGTTGTAGACCGTCTTACAAAATATGCCCATTTTGTAGGCCTCTGGCACCCTTTTACAGCAAAGGAAATTGCAGCAGTTTTTGTACAGGAGGTAGTTCGCCTACATGGATTCCCAGAATCCATCATTAGTGATCGGGATCGAATTTTTATGAGCATCTTTTGGAAGGAGTTGTTTCGTCTACAAGGGACGAAATTAAAAACGAGTTCGGCATATCATCCCGAAACCGATGGGCAAACGGAGGTTGTTAATCGGTGCTTGGGGCAATATTTAAGGTGTTTTGTTCATGGTTTTCGAGCAAGATGAATCTTTCATTTGCCATGGGCTGAACTTTGGTATAACACCACATATCATCGTTCTCTCAATATGACACCGTTTGAGGTATTATATGGGAGAGCTCCACCAATATTGAGATCATATACCAATGGCGAGTCCCCAGTAGCCGAGGTTGATGGTCAACTCACTTCTAGAGAATAAATCATCCAACTTTTGCGGAAGAACCTGATTCAGGTGACTAATAGAATGAAACAGCTGGCAGATGCAGGAAGGCGAGAGGTACAGTTTGAAGTTGGCGACCGAGTACACTTAAAATTGCAACCATGCATTCCGTCAGCAATCTGTGTTTAAGAGAGTGAACCAGAAGCTCGCTTGCAAGTTCTATGGGCCTTTTACTGTATCGGAGAAACTTGGAGAGGTGGCCTCCCGGATGGAGTTACCACCAGAGTCTCGTATTCATCCCGTCTTTCATGTCTCACTTCTTAAAAAAATGTATTGGTTCACAGGTTGCTACCACTCCTCAGTTACCCCCATATGTTGTAGATGGTCAACCTGTTTTTGAACCTGAAAAGGTGATCCGTTTTTGGCGTGTTCGAACACTGACAGGAGAAGCAAAGGAGGCTTTAGTACAATTGGCATCTTTTGGTCCAGAAGAGGCGACATGGGAACCTGTTGAGGCACTACAACAACAGTTTCCAAACTTCAACCTTGAGGACAAGGTTCGTCTTTGGGAAGGAGGCAATGATGAAGTCGAGGTCGAGGCTGGTCAACGCCAAAGCAAGAGGCTGCGAAGGAGTAATGTGAAGTTGTGGGATTACGTGGCTTAGTTCTGCCTATTTATTTTAATAACTAGTTTGCTGCTATTTATTATTTATTATTATTATCCACTAAAGTATTAGTATTAGAATAGATTTCCATTTGGCTACTGGTATTTCAATTAAAGTAGGGGAATATATATATACCCGATATCTGATTACGAGAAATAAGAAGAAGAATTTACATCTTAAATCGGTCCTCTATCACCTTGAGATAGAATAAGGTTTCCTTTACACCGTGAGTAAAGGTCGTTGGTTATTCCCAGTCTAGGGGATTTCCATCATAGTGTTTGAGAAAAAAGTGATTTTGAAAAGTAAAAGTTGGTAGTGTCTAGTAAAATAAGTGTTTTTTGTGTAATAGAAAAAATAAAAAGAAGATTCTAGATTTTAACTTTTAATTTTTAATTTAAGTAAAAGTGTTTGCAAACAAAGCTAGGAGGGAACTCGACAAGAAGAAATTTGAATACTACTCGGTATAACCCTAGTTAGCTTTTTTCCGTTTAAAACGCGTTTTAAACACGTAGCGTTTTTTTGAGCTAAAAAAGGCGTTTAAAATGAAAAATAATGTCGGTCCGTTTAAAAAGGAAAAAAAACTCCTACTTCCCGTATAAAACGTATTTTTCCGTATTTTACAAAAATTAGAAACATGAACTAATCAATTGAATTAGTGCATTAAATGCATGGGAGATCAACAATGGTTTAAAAGCAAAAAGGAAAACCTTCTCCTCGTGACTCCTTGTTTTTGTATTGTTACAAGAGGGTTTTCCTAAAATATTACTAATACAAAAGTCATGGACAAAATTTTGACTTGGTAACTTATAGGTACTATAAATGTGTTCAAAGTTTACATCATGATCACTACATCATAGTAACTCTGAAAATAATTATGGTAACTAAAAGTTATCAAGTCACATTTTTGTCCGTAACTCTTAAAAGAGTAATATTAGTAAAATTTTGTCTTGTTACAATGCAATTATTAATCCTAAATTATTTGCATGACGGCTAAAGACAAAAACTTGAAATACTGTTGGATTTATGATGTTTTTCCAATCAATCATCTCAAAATTCAAGGTTTTCTAAACCTAACATATTTTTAGTATAAACTTGTACACAAACAATAATAAGCGCAGCAGTCGCACAACATACTTTTCTCATATGTCATTCCTCATCTTGATGAAAATCATGAGTTTGACTTGAACGTTATTTGATGAGCATATAAAGACAGTGATTTTAACTTAGTCTCATTCTATTGTTATTATTCCTCATTTTTTTACTTTATTTTGCAAAATTATGTCTTGGACTTAATTACACTCTCCGTCCCGCAAAATAGTTCCCGGTTTCCTTTTTGGGTCATCCCAAAAAATAGTTCTCATTTCCCTTTTTGGAAAGTTCTGTGTGACTCACATTCGTTTACATTTTTCTTACTCAATCACAACCATACATTTTTACTTTCTTAAACTCCGATCCAAGTCAATGCGAGAACTATTTTATGGGACGGAGGGGGTACTATTTTTATTTTTTCATCGACTTATTAAATTACAAATTATTCTTTTATGTGGTAATGAGATTTGCTACTTGAATATGTGTATATTTATACGGAGTATTTGTTTTTACTATATACGTAGTATCTTTCTTTGTGAAGTATATACTTTAAATGTTCAAAATAATACCCCGTATTTTTTGTCCGAATTTTTGTAACATATACCGTATTATACACGTATACGTATTCACACGTTTTTTAAAAGTCAACGTATTTTTCAACGAATTTTTGACCGTCTTTTTCATTCTAGTTACCGAATAAAACACGTACGTATTAAACCTTGTTTAATTCCCGTACAGTATTTAACTAACTATGGGTATAACTACAGGGAAGGAAGCTTATTTTGACTTGCGAGAGCATATCTTACCCCACCATGCCAAATCTAGGATAATGATTAAAAAAATTACTGTTATAAACGAACAAAAACTGTGTTCAGGAGAAAATCAACGGTGCTTCAACGCGCAAAAGATTGTGTGGATGATCTTCGTATGCAAACAATGCATCAAACTCCATTATAATATACTCGTATTACTCCCTGTCCCCTTTTAAATGTTGGTTTTCTCATATTGGGATGTCCCTATTTAATTGTCTCATACCTTATTTGGTAAAGTTCGTGTGGCTCAAAATTATTCTTACTATATTCTTACTTTATCAATTAATATCAATCACACAAATCCACTTTTCTTAAAACTCGTGTCACCCTCTTCCGTCTCAATAAAAAATGGACGGAGGTAGTATATTCCATCGAAATTTAGCACATTAGCCTCATTTAGAAAATATGTCAAATTTTCATGTGTTATACGAGTAACGATCAATGTGTAAAACTCTTTTTATGAATAATTTTAACAATTCGGAAATCATTTTTCTTAATATTATGATTAAATATGCAAGTGAATTTGTCAAAATCTCTAAATTACACACAAATGTTTATTATTTATCTTTTATTTGATATTAAATTTGTTTATAATATAATATAGAAGGGTTTATGCGCATGAATAATGATAACACATGAAGGTTTGAAACATTTTTTAATCACAAGGCTAATGCGCATATTTTCTATATGATAATGAGAGCTAGTTGTGCATTTCATCTATAATACAGATTATACTTTCTAGGCATATGAATCCAGAAAATTGATTTAGGGGTTGAATGTTTCATATGTACTTTAGATAAATCATAATTTAAATGAGATTAATAGAATTGGATTTTTTACAAGAATATTACTAAACTTGAACATGAATTACTATGATTTCATTACTACTCTAGTAACTAATCATATTTTTGTAAACCATCTTTATTTTGGTCATATTTATGTAATTATTTCAATAGAATTATAGATTTGATATATATGTCATATATATTAGGAAGAAACTATCAATTTGACCCTCGTACTATGGGTGAACTGTCAATTGCGCCCTCATACTTTAAAAACACTCGATTTAACCGTTGAACTCCAAAAAACGCTCAATATGTCCTTTTACCCGGTAACCATCCGGTTTCCTGGTTAAGATCTCACATGGCAGGCCAGGTGGCATTTCCTTTTTCTTTTTTCCCTTTGGTTTTCTCTTTTTTATTTTCTCTATCCTCTTTCCTTTCTCTCTTTCTTCCTCCTCTTTCTCCCAGGTTTCACGCCTCAAGCCTGCAACTCTATATCCCTCTTTTCTCTTTAGGGCTCCAGCAGCCTGCCGCCCCTTTTCTTTCACTTAGTGGTCTTCTCTCTCAGAATTTGTATGAAATTAACTGGTGGAAAACGAGGGTAATTGGAGGGCGACGACATTGATGGTTACACTCCGGCCGTCCGGCGGATCTTGGTGCCTCTTCTTATGTTTTCAGACGGAGACTTTGAGAGGGAGACAATGGAGAACCACATCTGCACTGCTCGAACGGAATCCCTCTTTGGTTTCTTCTGTTCGTTTCTTCTTTTCCCGGGCGGATTCCGGATGCGATGAGATTTCCGGCGACATTGAGGTTGAGTCCGATGGGCAGTAGCCTCCAATAGTGAATACGGCACACATCGTGTTCATCTCTGTTCGATTCCGGCGAAGTTGCTCCTTGTTTGTTGCCTGACCGGGGTGTGCTCTGAAGAATGGGAGCTGTCTGCGTACAAGAAAGAAGAAAGGAAAGGTGAGGCGTACAATTGCTGAGGAAGAAAGAAAAGAAAATGAAAAAGGAAATGCCATGTGTGCCACCACGTGGCCTGCCACATGAGATGTGTTAACGGGAAACGGGATGGTTACCGGGTAAAAGGGTTTAATTGGGCGTTTTTTGGAGTTCAACGGTTAAATTGAGTGTTTTTAAAGTACGAGGACGTAATTGACGGTCCGCCCATAGTACGAGGGCCAAATTGATAGTTTTCCCTATATATTATTACCTTGTTTTATATAGGTGTAGTGGACATGTTTCTACACTGGTGACTGTCTCGAATGAGACCCTTTACCTTACTTTGGAACTTTACAGTTCCCCTCTTCTCACCTGGCTTAATATTAGGATTTTTACCATAAAAATCAAATGTTGAGTAGGCACTCGTAGTAGTAAGATATGTTGTCTTTGCTCTATCCCTAAGTAATGAGTGATTTATACACTATTTTTAAAATTTGGGAATATAATTAATATTACATACATCCCACTAACATTGGGACACGAGGAAGTGACAAGATTGTTAAAAAAAATGTGTTTATGTGGTTAATATTGAATTGATAAAGTAAGAATAAAAGAAGATTGATTTAAAACCACACAAACTATACCAAATTTGATAAGAGACGATCTAATTGGGACGCAACGAAAAGGAAAGATGAGACAACTTTAGTCAGATGGAGGGAGTATTACGCATCAATTTTTTTATTAATAAAATATATTTCAAAAATATTTTTTTCTTAAATCAGCAGAATCGGCCAATGCAGCCAATTCAGCCAGAACTTCATAAATTTCAGCAGAATCAACCAAATCAGCCGATTTTCGTGCTACCAAACGGGCTCTTAAATTTTGTAGACTTTGTACCGCCTTAATTTTTTGAATTTTACATTCATGGATATTCCTTAAATGGATATTATATTCACCTTATATATTATGTAGGGAAAATGGAAACTAATAATCCAACCTTTTAGCGGTCTTCTTTTAATAGTCCCACATTTTCGTTATTCATGAATAATCCAACCTTTGCACCTCATCTTCATTCACCGGTCCCTGACCGGTTGATGATCTGCTATTCCAAGTTATTTTCTTATCTTTGCAAAATATTATCTTTGTGAAAGGTGGAATTTATGGTATAATAATTTATGGTATAATAGTGCATGAGCTATAAAAGATTCATTACTAAATTGAAAAGCTAACCTTAAATATCTTTTGTTCATTTTGGGCGGCATTTTTTGGAGTAACTAGTATAGTACCCGTGCATACGCACGGGAAATAGTACTTGGTGCATATATTTTTAGTCATGATGTAATAAAATATTAAAATTAAAATCATTGTTTTTTATTTTACATTTTAGAAAGAAAAAAAGAGTACAATAAGCTAAATCATAAAGTATAAGTCATACAATAAATATTCAATAAAGAGTATATTAGCAAAAATTAATTGGCACCACTCATTAGAGTTTGCTGCATATTAATTTTCATGATAAAATTAATTTATACTACGTAATTAAATACAATTCTGAAAAATTAAGAGCAATAAGTGAATGACATAAAGTTTAGGTGAATAGAATTAATATTAAAATTGATGAATATTATTAGTCAAATATGAACTTGCTAATCATTAGTTAAATTAGTGCTAACATGTGAGAGACAACTACGTATGAAGAAAATTATCTTGCTCAATTGTTAGCAAGATTATATTCTAATAATACCTAAAAACACTACATATAAGAGACAGACTTATTGCGATCAATTTCATTGCTCAAGTATTAGCAAACTTATCTTCTAATACCCCAAAACACTAAATGTGATAGAGAAGTTTTTCCCGCTCAATTATTAGCGAGCTTTCTTATGCCTAAAACCATTACATATGAAAGGGCACATTATTCCACTCAATTGTTAGCAAACTTATCTTCTAATAACTAAAAGCACTACATATGAGAGAGAAAATTATACCGCTTAATCCCCTTGCTCATTTGTTAGCAAGTTTATCTTCTAATACCTAAAAGCACTACATATGGTAGAGAAATTTCTCCCGGTCAATTATTAGCAAGCTTATCTTCATATTCCTAAAACCACTACATATGAGATAGAAAATTTTTCCACTCAATTGTTAGTCGGCTTATCTTACATAGTTATACTCAAAAGCACTGCATATAAGAAAGAAAATTTGTCTGCTCAATTGTTAGCTGACTTATATTATATTATTATACTTAAAAGAACTACATATTAGAACCAAACATCCCAGCACATCTGGTTTGTGAGATTACCGTGCCTAGTGAGAGATCTTGAGTTCGAAACCCGCAAGACACGTAAGGGTTTGAAACTCAATGGAGTGAGTTTCAGCTCTGATTACTCCCCCCCCCCCAGACTCCCAGGAATAAAAAAAGAACTACATATGAGCAAGAAAATTTTCTCACTCAATTGTTAGCAATTCAAGCTTATCTTCTATAATAATACCTAAAAGGACTACATATGAGAGAGAAATTGCCCCCACTGAATTTTTAGCTCACTTATATATTGTACCTAAAAACACTACGTGTGAGAGAGATGATCCTACCCTGAATTGTTAGCCGACTTATTTTGTACTTAAAAGAACTCTCTCTCTCTCTCTATACATATATAAGAGGTAGAGAGATAGAGACAGAGAGAGAGAATTATCCCACTGTATTGTTAATCAGATTATCGTATCTTATACTTGAAAGCACTACATATGATAGAAATAATTCTACCACTTAATTGTTAATCAGCTTGTCTTATACTAAAAAGAACTGTACATATGGGAGAAAGTTCTCCCGCTCAGTTGTTAGCATGTTTACTTGTAATACCTAAAAGCATTACATGTAAGAGATAAATTTCTCCAGTTTGCTCAATTATTAGAAAGCTTATCTACTGATACCTAAAAGTATTACTTATTTTATTTATACCTAAAAGAACTACATATGAGAAAGAAAATTATTCCGCTCAATTCTCACGCTCAATTGCTAGCATTCTTATCTTCTGATACTTAAAAGTACTACTAATTTTATTTATTTATTATACCTAAAAGAACTACATATGAGAAAGAAAATTATTCCGCTCAATTCTCACACTCAATTGTTAGCATTCTTAGCTGACTTAAATTATACAAAGTATTATTATACTTAAAATAACTACATATGAACGTGTCTAGTGGGAGGTCTTGGGTTCAAAACCCGTTAGGCAGATAAAGGGTTCGAAACTCAATGGAGTGAGTTTCAACCCTGATTACTCCAGGCTCTCCCCAGCCCCCCTCCCCCAGAAAAAAAAAGAACTACATATGAGCGAGAAAGTTTTCCCGCTCAACTATTAGCAAGGACTACTTATTTTATTTATACCTAAAAGAACTACATATGAGAAAGAAAATTATTCCGCTCCAATCTCATGGTCAATTGTTAGCATGCTTATCTTCTATATAATAATACCCAGAAGCACTACATATGATAGAGAAATTTCTTCCGCTCAATTATTAGCAAGGTTATCTCCTATAATAATACCTAAAAGGACTACTTATTTTATTTATACCTAAAAGAACTACATATGAGAAAGAAAAATCTCTCGTTCAATTGTTAGACGGCTCATGTTATCTTATAATTAAAAACACTACATATGAGATCCTTATCTTCTCATCATTTATTTTGGTCAAGAAAAATGAAAGTTTCTTATAACTTTAATCAATCTTAGGTTTATCAACTTTTCTTATGTTGCTCATATATTATTTATTTATTTATTTATTTATTTATGGAAAAATCAAATTTAAATTATATTTTATTTATCAAATAAAGAAAATTAAATAAAAAAGAAAGTAGCTAAAATTTTCATTTATAGCAACTTCATTCATATGAAAAATGAGCATATAAGCATTTTTATTATAGTCACTAAATGTCAATAAATTATATTTATATCCATTATCCTTATTCTAAAAATCTAGTTTTAGTCAAAGTGTTATAACATTTTCATTTTAACTCTAACTTTTGCAAAATATATTAAAATTCATAATTCTTATGACGTTTCATATGACAGATGAGAAAATGTTACATGTTAAAAATAACACGTACTCCTTTAGGGGTTACGTGTTATGCGTAACATTTTCTCATCTTAACACCATTATATTTTCTCTTCTTGACTCTTTTTTTATTTTTAAGTATAATAAATGTAAGTTAAAAAATCTTTATCATTTTATTCAAAAATTATTTTAATATATTTTTTAGATTTTGAACTGGAGTCAAAGATTCTTTATTCTTTGGCTTGAGAATATGATGGAATAAAGTTAAATGGCTCACTAAACTGTGTGCGCTTCTTTCTTATGAAGCATCAGTCAGTCCATGCAATTTTGGACGCGATTTTCACTATGAGTCATCCCGAAACAGTCTCTCTATGCTTTAGTATAGGGGTAAGACTGTGTACATCCGATCCCCCTTATCCCACCGTAGGTGGGAGCCTTTGCGGCACTGGGGTAAATGAAAATGATGATATTTTTTAGGTTTTTTTACACATTTGAATAATTAATTTTACATTGTTTTAACTCTCACATTATTTAGTACCGAAATCTATGTTTTTTAAAAAAGAAATGTTGTTTCATAAAATTTTAGATTTTGTTTTTAAATTTTTCATATAGCAATATTGATGTCAAATTAAAGATCATAAAAAATCATGAAATTTGATATATTTTTGTAAATTTTGAAGTAGAAATTAAAAGGTTATATCCCTTCAAAGAAAAATGGGGTCTTTTATTGTCTTGTATCACAATTTCCTTCTTTTGTGTGTTTCATAACTTCATTCATTCATTCGAAGAAAAAGAGGAAAGATGTAGAAGTTGCCACGTGTCATTATAGAGTGAGGGGAGTGAAATTCGGTGAGAAGGACACATAACATTTTGTAGGGGTAGAAATGTACTTAGCACAGCCTATTATTTTCTTATATATAAATAGAATAGAAAACTTGTGACTCTGTTACTTTATACGTATAAAAATTGAGAAATTTCTATTTTTTAACCCAAAAAGCAAAACATCCATCGGTCTGATTTCGGACCATATATAATCTTTAAGTAGAAATATTGTAAAAATCCCACTTTTTAATCTTACAAAAGAAAATGAAGACAAAGTAAAAAGAGAGAAGGGTTGACAAAGAAAGTGGAGTGAAAATGGAGGAACTAGTATATATTTTACTTATGGTGACGAGCTACTATTTTTTTGGGAAGTGAAAAGC